GCATGCTGGGATCTGCACGAATCCTCAGAAAGGTGCTCAGTGTATGAACAGAATGATTGACTTCAGTGACTGACGCTCTAGGTGCATGGTTTGCGCCCGGCTGATGCACAAAAAGAACACCAGCAAAGACTGTGATAATAGAGACAATAATAATAATAATAATAATAATAATAATAATAATAGTAATAATAATAATAATAATAATAATAATAGTAATACTAATGATAATAATAATCTTTATTGAGATAACTTTTTCATACAAGAAGTATCTCATAATATTAAAAAATAAGGTACACACAATCAACGATAAAATTAAACGCTAAAATAAGTAAAAAAAAACTATTAAAATGTACAAGATATCAACTAATATAAAATCTTTGAATTAAAGATTTAAAAGAGCAAGCTTAAAAACATTCACATTCACGTCATCGAAAATGCCCAACAAAATGGCTACCATCTTGGATTTTGCCAGAAATTATAAATTTATCACTTGACATGTTCATAAATTATGATTGAAATTTTATTTCTTTTACCGTTGGTAGCAGCCGACAAAAAGCTGAAAATACAATTTTGCAGAATATAGAAATATTACTCGTCAGAGGAAGGTTTGACCTAAAGATGTTTATATTGCTTATAGAAAAGAGTTTTTTTTCTTAGTTCTGGTAGGGTAGTTGCCCGAAGTTTTTATGGAACGAAAGAATAAGCATCGCCATTACAGCTGCTATTTACTCCCGGCCTATAAAGTTTATGCAAGTAGCGAAGTGAAGTAAGAAAACTTGCTTTGTCTCAATAATTTCAACAGGGAGAAGTTTCCTTTTATGGAATTAAAAAAGTAAAAGTATTTGCAAGGGAAATTGTTGCTGCGAGTGGAAGTACGCTCGGTGTATTTACTCCTAATTGGAAACAGACGTTTTCACGCCCAGTTGCTACCGAAACAAACGGAGATGGAACCAAAGGAGAGGATGGCAAACATGGCCCAGACGGACCAAAAGGTAGGTGGGAAGCCTTTTTTAAAACTTTTTACTTGATTTCCTTACACACAGCTGGTTTCCTTGTAAACCAGGATCGGGGGTTGAGGGTTAAGGATTGGGGATCAGGATCGTGGATCGAGGATTGAATATCATTAACCATATGAAAAAACGTGTTAACCGAATTTTCAAAAATAAATTTGAAAAGACCAGAAAAGAGCGCAAATGAAGTGAAAATGGCTTGTGACTCACGTTTATGCGTATAAAATAGGAACCTTCCTGTGAGCACAATGTTTTTGCTTGAGTGATTTTCATTTATAAATTGTTCGACTTCGTTCTGATACCGTTCCCGGCGAGTTGTTCTTAGTCATTATACGTTTCTGGGAAACTGCCAACCTACCCCTCCCCCAAGCAAACACTACCACTTACTTCTTACTTAGAGCAAAAGGTTGGCTTAAGGGAGGGGTAGGTGGCATGGGCAGTTTCCCAGAAACGTATATTGATCCTAGTTTTGTACACCGTAAGAGAGAGAATAGGATATTTTGGTAAGTTAAAAGAAAACAAGGGCATTTTTTCCCAGGACTTTCCACTTTTATAAGGAAATTCGCTGACGACACCATTATCTCTGAGCTGATTCCACTGTCCAGTCACAGTAATCTTCAACAACGTGTCGACCATATCAGCAATTGCTCTCAACAAAGTCTAACCAAATGCAAAGAAATGCTGACCCGTTTCAACAGAACTGATGATCTAATAACCGATCCCCGATCCTCGATATTGGTTTTCCACAAGGAAATCGAGACAGCAGGTGACAGCGAACAGCATACAGTAATTCGAAACGTAGTAAATTAAATTTTCAGTGCGCGCGCAGTAATTATGATTTATGGTCGCATTTTGCTTTTCGTTTTATTTTTCAGTGGAAATAATCTGTGACGTAATAACTGGAACCTTCGAAGTGACTTCTAAGGGAGGAGATGGACATAAAGGACAAGATGGGGGACCAGGTTCAGATGCAGCGGACAGCCACTCTGTTGTAGGTTGTTTACTTACAGACCCTCCCATGTTTTTTTAACTTTTGACGCGGACCAGTTAGGGAAAATCTGTCGATGCCACTGGAAAGAACGCATCAAAGTTGGTAGAATTTTCAAGTTTGAAAGTGGTGTGCCTTAAGCAGCGAAGATATAGTTCCTGAAAGTTGCGAAAATTTATTGTCGTTTGTATGGTGGAGGGGGGTTTTTGTGTCCCTGGCCGCCATACAAACGTCTGTAAAATTTCGCGACTTTGAGGAGCCATATCTTTGTTAGTTTTCAACAAATCACTTCCAAACCTGGCACTTAGTTTTGCCAATTTAAACGCGCTTTTTCCAGTGGAGTAGGCGGATTTCCCTAACTTGTTCATGTCAAAAGTTGAACGAAGCCGTGGAAGCATAAGAAAATCGTGGAGCATAAGAAAAAATAAACCATGTTTCCGGGGTGCAAACTCGCCTAAGTTATTCAGAGTTATATGCCGCAAGCAATAAGTAAAAGGAATAGATTAATTATCAGGTCGTGAGAAAATAACGTACACAAGTTCTATAAATACAACAAAAATAATAAGTTATTGAAAAGAAAAGTAGCATATTAGAATATGTTGCAAGTTAAACAAAGTTTATCACAACAACCCACATATTAGTACCTGTTGATCTTGCTTGCCTAAACATGTTCTTGGACTTCTGGGTATTACAAAGTAGTGCATTTCTGCCGGGAGGTTCTTAATCCACAGGTTCTTTAATTATATGCGGGTGTTTGCTGTATTGTTAAATATTCTCTACCTTTAGTTGGTGCCACATTATATACCTGATTGAAAAAACGTTGTCGCTGAAGTATAAACCATGCACGATGAGGTTTCAAGGATTTATGGGTAGTAGGTTCATTAGCAAAGCAAATTCAAAGTTCTTTCGACAAAAGTTTACATTGTCACGAGATGCTCGTGTGGATGCAAATCCCTAGAGTATTTTGTTTAAGGCATGCTGTTGTCTTTTTTTTGTCTTCCAAGAACGCTTTTAGGTCCTATCTTATGATTTTCAAGTGTGCGTTAGCGATATGGCTACGCTCTTTAACTGTAGAAATCTCTTATGTGTCCAGCACTGGTGAAGTTGTGAGTCGTAAATACTGGAAACCGTTTTACGTTTTTTGGAATGCATTGTCGCGAAAAGCTTCGTAAATGTAAACATTTTTGAGAAGAACTTTAAATTTACAATGCTAATAAAGTTCTACCCGTAAATCCATTAGGTCCCATCGTTCATGGTTTATACTTTTCAAGCGACAACGTTTTTTCACTATCAGGTGTATACGAAAGTCAGTTTCTTAAGCGTTCGGTTGCTTGTTGTGAATGGAAATTAATCAAGCATAATTATTTTCTTAGAGAGCTGATAAGGACAAGGGTAGATGTTCTAGTCGTAGATATAGATTCCCGCCTCGAGGGTTGAGAGACAAATGCAAAGGTCTATCCCAAAGGGCAGAACAAGGAGAGAGAGGAAAAGATGGAGGAAAAGGAGGGAATGCTGGAAAACCAGGTACCTTACACTGTGTCTTTTATGTTGATTGATTTATTAATAGCTTTCTTGTAAAATTATACCATGTTTCCCTTTGGTTGTTTTGTGATTTTGTTTGTCCGTTTTTGCTCGGGCCTCCGTGGGAAACACCGGAGCTTAAAAATGAGCTCGATTTTTTTTTCTGGCACAAATCGTCCTCTAGCGTGTGCAGCGCGTGCGCAAGATATAAGAATATACGAAAATAGTTCAGCGCACTGAAGTAGAGAACGTGGCTTCCTGTCTGAGGTGAGCGAAGTCATCTGTTTCGAATTGTTCTGTTTAAATAGAATAAAACAAAACCGGACTTACATGAAAGTTTACTCTAGAAGTAACAAGACTTTTTTGGCATTTCTAGATTTTTATTACATTGCCCATTGACAGAAAAAGCCATTCTTTGACTTGGATTAAGAAACTTTAACTAACGAATGTGACCACGTAGGGCCACCTTTTTAACATAACAAAGAAAGGCACGTGACCTAACTAGTTAACGTCTGGCAACAAAATCAACTGTCACGCGTATCTTTGAACTTGCAGTCTACATGTTTTGATAGTTACCGGGGAGTTACTTCTTAGGAATGGAACCCAACGAATGATGTCTTTACCATTCAAAATTTCACAATAAGTTACAACAAGGAAATGAACTATTCTTCCAAAAGTTCTCTTTATTAGGCCAAATGTCCCTTGGAAGACTGTTTGCGAGTAACGAAGGTTTATATTCATCTGCAGATTTATCGCAAGGCTTCTTGTCCCCATAACCTTTTCTCCACAATACTATTATGGCAGAATTGGCTCCGCAGTCGGTAGAGGATATGACTGCAGAGCGGGAGGTCGCAGGTTCGATCCTCGGGCCAGACCAATACTCAGGGTCTTAAAACACAGGTACCCCAAGCTCACGAGTGAGAATCAGTGAATCGCTGTTGCGTAACAGAAATATTATAAGAGTTTGTATGGAGACTTAAGCGATCGTTATTTAGGGGTCACAATCTAATAGTAATAAAAATACATCAGAATTTCTTACCTTGTCTCCTTCTCTAAATTTGTGGTGTTTTCTTAGCATTTTTGGCCGTTTCAGGGCGATTCCAGCGATTTTTAGTTTTACCGTTGTTCACTCCAAGTGGTTCAATCGCCGGCGTCCAGATTTAACCCAGGGCACGTTACAATCCGCCTGTAATTACTGCTTTTTCATTGGACAAAAGCGACCGCAGTGCGCGAATATCAGCTCGCCAAAACAACGACTCTCTTCCATCGATAGCCATCGATGAAGCTTTGCTACGAAGTTCCGCGCACGGCCGTTGAAAATCTAACCTTAGCGACCCCAGCCTTGCGGTTCAAGTTACATGCACACACGGTGGGTGAGGGGACAATTTTCGCCAAAACAACAACTTTATCCCCTACTAGTGTAAAAAAACTGAAATGTTCTTCTCTGTAATCCTAAAGGTAACGGGGGCAATGCCGGCGGTATGACACTACGCTACAGAAAACAGATGGGACAGACAACATTAAAAACCTGTGGGGGAACTGGAGCTCAGCCAGCTCAAAATGGAAAAGGAGGAAAGGGTAAGACATTTCTGCATTTTTTTTTTTGTTAGCGTTCAATTCCACGCCACCGTGGCTTACGTCATTGTAATGTGGAATTGAAGGCGGAAAATAGTTTTATTGTTATCGAATTGTTAGATGCCATTTGGCCTCAAAGTAACCAATGACTGTCCAATTTGATCTGTAATCGTGTATTCGTGATTAAGCAAATCGGATATTTGTTAATCACTTGTATATTTACAGGCGGAATTGGACGATACTCAGGCCTATTGGTAGTGGTAGTGGTAGTGGTAGAGGTAGGGGTATTGGTAGCGGTAATAGCAGTAGTTTGTTCACTGTCGAGAAATTAGATATTTCATCATCGCTAAGATTTAATTACTCCGCATGTACGTTTTGAAAGTTTTGCAAATGGCAAATTAAGACATGGTTAAAGACGCAACCAGTGCCTTAAGAAAATTATTACTTTGAACCTTAGGTGGCGAAGGCGGGCAGGGAGGACGTGGAGTAAAATGCGACTTAGGATCTTCGTATATGCGAGAGTGGGGAACGGAATATTTTTGCGAAGGAGAATACACTGAAAGAGCCCGTAAAGGAGATACCGGTAATAATGGAGCAGCAGGATCGAGTAAGATAATTTTAATTAGATTCAACATTGTCATTTAATTTCTGGCCAAACCAAGAATCGTTGTTGTAAACTAAAAGAAAATCTTCACCAAATAGTTAATTTTACATAATTGTATACGAAATAGGACAACATGCTGTACAATTTGGAAACAATTGGATGAAAAAAAAAATTCCGACGACAGCCCAAATTAAATTTGGCTGTCAGAAAAATTTTTTGAATTCAATTTTTTACAAATTGGACAAGCATGTAGTCCTCTCACCTATTAATCATATAGCTGGTTAGCTTATCTAGATTTGTTTATAATAAGCGTTTGACAGAAATTAAGAATATTGTAGACTCAAATCGTCCGTAGTTAAAACAAAATCAGACAGCAAGATTTAAAAAAAAAAAACAAGATTTATTCTAGTTTTCTGCCAACTTGCCATTCACAAGGCACAAACAACGAAACAACAATGCAACTACTTAATTTAAACAAGGAAACTGTTGAAAATAAACATTTAAACATCATTTCATACTATTTCCTCCATTTTCCATCGCGAACTAAAAACTTTTAAAAACGTTTATGTTCAGAACTGTCTGAAAATCTTCAGAACACTAACGCCTGTGGATCGATCTTCCACGTGTGCTTGTTCTTCGTTATTTTTCGATGCCAGTAGACTTTGTCAGCATCTGAACACATAAATGTTTGGTTGGAACACCGGCCAACATATCAGTGTTTTCTTAATCTTGTCCAATGTTTCAGTGGTTCTACATTTTCCAGGACCTTTAGTATTTGATACGCCACGAATGCGGGCTTGTTTCCAATACAAACTTTGGTCACACTTTTCCTTGTAACAAACAGTAGCATTTGGTGTCATACTGACGGCATTAATATATTCACAGCAACAAAAAAGTCAAAAGCCTTCCCCGACGAACCGCCGTCAGCTAACAAGACTTTTCTAGCGCGTTGCCGGTCACAGTAACTTTGTGCTTACCGGCTATTTTGGATTGCCTTTCGTTTTCTGGCATTTGATTGGTTCAGACAAACTGTAGTAACTACATACGTATGTATTTAAATAGGTGTGTCGTTAATTATACTTTATTCTATTCGTTGAGTGTTGAATTCCGACCGACGTTTCGTGCAGGCCGTAAGGTTGAAGAGTGCATAGTTGAGCACACCAGATCAGAATGCCTCTCTAAGGCCTGTTTACATTGAGATGGGGGACCCCAGGTGGTGAGGTAACCCGCCTGTCCATATAATCTCTCATGATAGGTGGGTGACCCGCCATGGTAGCCCGGTCTGCCAGACCGGGTTAACCCTCTCAGCCGGGGTCAGATTTTTCCATGTAAACGTTTCAAGGTGGCGTAACCCGCCTAGCCGGGGTCGGATTCGCGATACTGAATTCGCTCAAAATTCACTTTGGCGGTGGCTTTGCATCATTATTAAAGGTAACAATCGAAAGCCACAGCGCTGAAGGTTGCAGCAAGAGCAGCGAGTGTAGGAGAGCATTAATCACCAAAAAACGTGGTTTGCCAGCATTTTCTTGTTTACGTGCTTAGCGACCATTCAGTAATCTTGAGAAAGTGTACCCCGGGATGGCGGGGTTGTAAGGTTGCATGTAAAGGAGGGATATTTTTTTACCCCACCTAAGCAGTTTACCTCACCTATCTGGGGTCCCCCACCTTCTTGTAAACAGGCCCTAATTTGAAGAATTATAATGTCTTTTTAATTTAAGCTACCAGGGAAAATAAAAAAAGTTGTATATAATTATATCCAACTCTAGCCTAAAATATTTAATTCAATCATAAAACATTACTTTCACTATTTTTTGTTTTCTTTAAAGATTACTCTTGAACCAGGTGATAGCATTATATGTAGATGTTTACCTTAGTATTCAAGGCACCATTGTCACACTCGCACTGTTCGATTTTGGAAGAAAATCGTAATGACTTAATGAAACCTACGTGCGTTTATACTTACCTCTCGTCCCATGTAACGGAATCCAAGACAGTCTTGGACTCTGGATTCAACACCGTGGATTCCGGATTCTAGGTACTGGATTCCGGATTCTTCGTCAGTGGAACTTGGATTCCGGATTCCAATCTGGATTCCTTAAGCTATATCGCGGATTCCAAAGCCCGGGATTCCGGATTCCACAAGATAAACTTCCCGGATTCTGGATTCCACAAGCAAAAATTTCCCGGATTCTGGAGTCCGCAATCCCTTACATGGGGCGATACTTCTCTCTGAATAGACCTCTTCCGAGTTCCAAAAACCCTCACTTTCAAAATGAGGCTAGGTGCACAACCTTTCTTGTGAAAATGAGTTTTATTTGCATGAGAATGAAAAATGATTTCCGTATCAAAGTCTGAGCACCTACCCTCGTTTTGAAACAGAGGCCCGGGGGAACTCGGAAATGGCCTATTAACTTTACGTAGAAGGCAACAACGAGGAAATATACCTGATATTGGCAAAGACTAACGGATTCAATTTTTACCGTAAAATTCCGAAAATCATGGCCCGGGGTTTATGTTTTTCAAAGGCCCTTTTTGAGTGGTTTATTTTTGGAGGGGCTTATCTACGGAGGGAAATTTACGTTTCAAATCGATTGGGCTAGCCTTATAGGCAGAAAGAAATTTACCGTTTTTGTTTTGTTTTTCTTTGAATTTGAGGGCATTTCCAAGTACAAGCGGGCTTATATTTGGAGGGGCGATTTAACGGAGGTTTTGTTTTTGCGTTACGTGTTTGGGGGGCTTATATTTGGAGGGGCTTATAAAGTGTTTTCACTCACGTGGCCAGCATCTATGCTAATACATTGGAGCAAAAGAAAGTTTTTACATAAGAAAAGAGTTCAACTCCCACAGGTTTTGTTTGGAACACCAACATGGCCGCCGTTTTAATGTTTTGGAACACCAACATGGCCGCCGTTCTATTGTTTTGGAATACCAATATGGCCGCCGTGACGTCATGTGAAAACGCTCTATACATAGGGGGGCTTATTTTCGGAATTTTACGGTATTACTAGAATCTATGGGGGATACTCTTTACCTGGTTTGACTGTGATGGAAGCTTCGCTTTTAACCTTGCCTTAATCTATGTATTATACAATAATATTTTTCAGCACCAACCGTTAAAGGAAACGATGGCACTGTCAGCAAGGAACTTATCCAATACGGACTTCTGGACGTACCAAGCAAGAAAAAATTTCCAGCGGAACTCTTGCTTATCATAAGAAGGCAAGCTGTCGACTTGTTGCTGGGTGACAGAGACAACCAAAAGGGTAGAGACGCCCTGCGGTTTATTAAAGATGTGGCGACTGGAAGAGATGACGTGAAAGATATTAAAAAGGGTAATTATTTTGTGAGAGCAGCTTGGTTAGGTCAATGTTCAGGTAGCAACTTTGTTTTTATTGCTGTTGTTGATTAGGGTCTGCGTAAAGTAATAACAATCATGATCATATTACACGGTGTATATTGCGGGCATCATTCCTCAAAATTGCATTCTTTGAACTCACAAGCTAACTTAAACAACTGTCGGATCGATTAACTTTTGATCTTGGGGTGGACGACCTCGTAAGAACCAAACGGTCCGGTTTTGGAGAACCTTTTTTTACAATAACGACAAAATCTTGCAGAAAAAAAAAAGTAGATCAATTAAATAATTAAAAAGAAAAATTAAAAGTTAAATTTAGATGAAAATTAAAATTAGAATTAACTTTATTCGAAACGTCGACTAATATTTCTTTTCTTGGTAAATGCTTCAACAAGCAACTGAGGCCCAGTTCAGACGTCGTGCTTCTGCCGTGCCGAACTTAATTGTAATTTGGTTCGACTGTAGCACGGCAGAAAAACAATTTTGATTCAGACGTCGTGCCAGAGTCGAACCAAATTCAGGATTTACTGATTTACCTCGTAACAATTCTTCTCCCAAGTCCCCGTGGGAACGCAATCTCGCCAAAATACATTAATATAATTTATGAATTTTGTTTAGCGCGGCAGAAGCACGACGTTTGAATTGCTGCCGTGCCAGAGCCGTGTAGCACGGCAGCGCTTGTCGAACTTAATTGCTTGCCGAACTTAATTCAAAAGTTTGATTCAGACGCCGTGCTTCTGCCGTGCATTTGTTGAACTTAATTCCTGAATTTAGTTCGGCACGGCAGAAGCACGACGTCTGAACTGGGCCTGACCCCGGCTATTCGATCTTTTTATGGTAATTAGCGATTATTGGGCGAGGCTGTAGATCATACGAAAACCGAATCCAATAAGTGTTTTAAATTACTATTCATTCGAAATAATTCATAGTTTATACGAGACGAGCTGAAACATGTTTACCTCGATCGATGTTAGTTCCTGTCTTCATTTGGCTGTTTTCTCGGCAAATTCAGGATATGGAGGGATGTTTAGTCTAGCATAAATTCGTCAATAAGCAAATGCCATCCACTGAGTTGTATTTTTGCTGTTCTTGCTATGTTTTTAGGCACTGTTCTTAGTACCGTAAATATAGCAAGCATATTTTCATAATTAACAATTATTCCACGGGTGCGCGTTGGATATGAATTGGCTATAAACATCTCATATCCAACAAGCGCGAATGGAATAGTTGTTTTATTAAAAACACCCACAAAATATCGCGAATTGTTCCCGACTTTACTTGTAAAAACAACCGGTTTTCAGCTTGTTTATAATTTTGAGCAGATAAGTACAGTTACCATATTTGGAGAGAATGGTATGATGGCTCACAACCATGATGGCTCAGCCAATCAGAGCTCTAGAGTTGCAATATCCAATGATTCAGTTTTTAAAAGCAATAGATATCCCACAATTTCTAGCGTTGTATATATTACCACCATTCCTCCTATTGTGTGCATTTTTTTATCCTTTAGTATCAGATTGACCTTATTTTTTGCTAGCTAGTTATGAAGAATTTGGACTAATCAAAAAAGGAGAAGTATTCTGAATGAAAAATAATCAAATTTATAACCCACTTCCACACAAAAATGGGATATACCACAAAAGGTCTGTTCATTTCATTACTTTGTGGTAGCTCTATTGGAACTGCTGTTGGCTAAAGATTTCTAATTCTTGAAAAAAATTTTTCTACTATGGGTTCGGTTAAATAAGTGAAGCTCCAAAAAAGCTTTGTGCCGTCGTCCAAGAAATGGCATAAAACCAAAATATTTTTGATGCACAGACCTAAAACGCATTTAATTTCAGCACAAGACGTTTGAAGTAATATATCAAACATGAGACGCAGTGTTTCATCACCAGATGAAACACCGAGAAGAGAGTTGAAAATACGACGCGCAGCGGAGTATTTTTGACGAACTTCGAGGTGTTTCATCTGGTGATGGAACACTGTGTCGAATGTTTGATATTTCTTCTCAAACAAAATCATTTTTGAAGGAGAAATTAAGGATGCAAATACTGAGCAGTTTTTCATCCGATTTCCAAACACTCATTAAACATTAATTTTCTTTGTATTTTCTTTATGAATTATTAATGAGTTTGAGAATGTCTCTTCAAGAATAGGTAGATGTTTTCATACTTGACCAACACGACCAATACATTGAATCATTCATTGTTAATCCTATTTCTTTTAGACGCAGAAAGGAAACTTGCCTTCTTAGATGTAGAAGGTTTTGACATTTTTGGAAAGAACTCGCTCTTTGCCCCCCTTATCAGATGGGAAACGTTCTACAAAGATATCGACAACATAAAGAAAGCAGCCGGTGATTATGAAAAAGCATTCAACGATATAATTACTAGCGTGAATAACAAAAAAGATTTAAAGCAGGTAAAAAGTTACTTCTTTCTAGCAACCGTTTAAAAATGGATCATATGGACGAATACTGTGTATAGAGATGAACAATGAGTGCCAGCAATAATACTGATCAATTTCTTCAAGGTGATCCTTTGAATCGTCATATACAAGGAGTGGCTGATCTTTTTTTCAAGTTCATTAGATCAAACTGAGGCCCACAGGGCCAAAGGAAAAAAAATGTATTTCCGAGGCTTATCATCCCTCGTATCTTGCACAGCACAATATTTAGCACACCATGAAAGTACTGTTCAGTCACGTTCACCTATCGTCCACTCATCTCCAGAAATACAAGAAAGCTCGGAACCTCGAGATTAGATCAATTATTTCCATGTGACTTCATGCAGACAGAATAGACCTTATTCATGATACCCGCCATCTTCGCAGGTGTTTAAGACAGGGGGCAAACAAAAATAAATTCTGCCGATACAAGAAATCGCGGTCGGGTTTCTTTATTCTAGACAACAGAAAATGATGGACTTTTTATTCCTAAAGACGATAATGGCAGATATATGGGTGGACGTGAGCATTGCTACTTTTTTTTGGATCCAGTAGCAGCTGTAGATGTTCTCACAGCAAGCAAAAATGACGAAAAACTTGTCGAGACTCGAACTGTACATTTTGCATGACTAAAGTCGTCGTCTCGTTCTGAGAGAATAAGCAAACTCGACCGCGATTACTCGAATTGGCTAATTGTATCAATTGTTTCCCCTTTGAAATAACACGTGACATTGCTTTTAATCAATCAATGCTAAAGTGCGTACCAAAATGACAGGTATCGTGAATAAGGTCTTACTATTGATTGCGTTTAGGTGAGGATTAGGGCTAGGGGACACTTCTTAATGTCTATCATAACGAGCATGAATGTTATTAACTTGAAATCATGGGCAAGCTCTGAAACCACAGCACCATACGTAAATTTAAAAAAAAACATAAAAGGGAAGAGTAATAATAGTGAAAAAAACAACTTACGTCCCTCGCAGGGAACCCGTCTCACTCATACTCTCTCCTACAACAAAGACTTTTGGCCGATTAAAAATAGCCTAACTGCTCGTTTTCTTTTGTTACTTTTTTCTTATTAGATGGCGTCTAAATTTTCAGATATAACGACTAGACAAGTAAGAGCGCAGAGAAATCGGCTTATTGCGGCCAGAAACGTCGACGAAAGTGAAAAAAGGATGTATATCAAGGTATATATGTGCTTGGAGGACAGCGCACCTTTTAGTTCATCTTATTATATACAGTCAATTAATGAATAGTGTGACTTTTGTCAAATATAATACAAAAATTGATATTCTTAGTACGATGAAGGAAACAGTCAGATCAATCAGAGTCTGTGGATCTTATAGCTTCCTTTTAAGTTTAAGTGCATTTTAGTACGCAGCGATCATTAAACAAATTAGTACGTTTCAGGTAAGACACGAAGCTCGAAACAATGTTTAATCGTTTCACGTGCAATATTCGGGCTCGGTTTTTGGCACTTTGTGAGCTTTTTGGTATCGTGATTACTCGAGAGACCCTAACCCTTAAAACTGAAACCGGCTCACATAATTATGGCCACGTGAATGTAAACATAACGTAAACAATCCGCGACAGACAGCACGTGGCCATGGTCAGCCATTAAAGAAAAGCTGGCGTTCTCTTCTAAGATATTTTGTTTTTATTTGATATAGTTTTTCCACGAGTAACTCTACAGTTGTATTTGTTTCATTTTCTTCTGTCTTTAACTACTATTATTGTCATTCAAACAGTGGGAAAAGTGTTTCTTTTTCAAATGATGAGTTAAATTTAGGGCTTTTGAGAAAGGACTTGCTTTTCCTTGCTTGAGTGTCAAAGTAGCCCTACAGAAACCTTTTATGTTCGTTTGTTTGTTTTTGTTTTGCTTTGTTTTTTACGATGGTGGGTGTTTGACACCAACAAATTAATTTTTCACTTATTTCCGCCCCCTCCACTTTTTTTTACTTCGGCGGAGCGCGAAGTAAAGGATTCGCGACGCTCAGGAATGTATCAAAGTTGCCATTTTTTGACAAGATTGGGCAAGCAAAGTCTGTAGGTTTTCGGTGCTATTCGGCTATTTGACGAATTGAGAGCCGAATTAGTTCGAGAAATCTCGAGATCACTTCTGTACGTTTTTGGATTAGGCATGAATAATTAATTAGGGCTTGTTTACATTTCAGCTTGAGTCAGCAGATTTGCATCAGTTACTGAAATCATAAAATATGTCGAAAGGCTACTACTATTCGCCTGTTTAGTATTTTCTAGAACCTTATGTCAAACGGTGTACAAGTTCCAAGCGAGTTCTTTCGACGAACTAAGTTTTTTCCCACGAGCTGGACTGCTGTGTTTAGTCAAGTGTGACGAAGGTCGATTTTCTGGTTCGGTGTTTACAAGTTCGCGGAAGCCGTAAGATATCTGAAGTTCAAGTGAGAGTTTGTTATTATTGGTAGAGGCTGTTTAGTTTTACTCAAAGTTCAAGTCAAGTTTGTGTTGGTGGATGCTGTGTTTTAAAGCTCTGTAAAGGGTATGTTCCTTTGGTGTTAAACTTCCTTGTGTTAATCCGACATTCCTGCGTTCTGATAGTCAGTGAATAGTTATCCTCAAAACATTCGAACTCGTGACTTTGAGTTTTAGCCAATTCCACGCTCAACGTAATTGACTCCTTACCAATGCCTTACATATCTTTAATCAGTACATGAGACTGCTATGCTGTTTTTGAAGCCTAATGTGACTAAGAAAAAAAGAGAATTGTTTTTTAGAAGGATTTGTATGGAGTCATCAGAGCATAACTGGGCTAATATCTCGGAGACAATTTGTCCCGAAATGCTAGTTTTTGGCAAGTAGGCCTCTTGGATGTTGCTCTTTTCAGAATATCCTGACAAATCCCATAATTTCACAAATTAACACCTTACTCTTACCATATTTCATTTCTTACTATTCCTCCGCATTTACAATTAATTAGTTCCACAACCACGACGCCGAAGTGTACGCTCCGTAGCGTCTTGTTCTTCTTACACTGATCTTCACACGCCGTTCCTGTTTGCCGTTGGCTTATCATATCTCTTCTTCCTACAGGCCATAAAGTCAGAGGAGCAGAGAATGAAAGGTATACTAACAACAATCATGAACTTGTTGCCCGAAGCTTATCAGAAAACGAAGAACAAGTTAGACGCAGAGCAGTTTTTGGCAGTTCTTCAGGGAATCACTGGGTTCTCGGGAGCTGTAGCAGGCAAAGACCCCTTTGCATTTATTGACTCGGCTGTCGGTATAATGGATTACGAAATAAACAAACCATGCCTCAAATCACTGGGCACAATTCGCAAAAATCTCAAGAAATGGCTCACATTTGGAAACGAGTACAAGCCACTCAAGGATTCTAGTGACTTAAACTTTGACAAAGTGAAGGTCTCCGCAATCCCCGAAGTTATGAAGGTATATATTTTCTCAAAATCATTAATTATTCATGCGGTAAAAAGCCAGTAAATGACGACCATTTGGTTCAGTTGGATGAATCTTCATACCTAATGAGACACCAGATAAAACACAACCAGGTTTTCATCTGAGATGAAACATGTTTTTTATCTTAGATCAGACATTTGCATTTTAATGAGATGTAACACAACTCATGGAACAATACAGTGCCAGAGAAAACATGTCACTGTATAATTTCTTCTTGTTTCATTTGAGAAAACATGTCAAAAACTCGGACTTCTTGCTTCACTCCTCGAAACAGATGAAAATCTGTTTCTCAATCTTTGGAACCCGTGATGAAGCATTCTCCCTCGTTTTTGACGTTTACATAAAAAATAAATATGTGTGATAATACGGTATGAGAATGTTATAGAGTAGTCGGTCTTGGTTGTTAATTATCAAAGCAGTACGGACCACTGTACAACTGCCTCCGTGTTCCCCCCGTGTTCCCCGGGGGGAAGGCGGAGGAGAGGTAGTAGCTCAAAAAAGTTTTAAACGGGAAGACTCTGCCCCGAGGTCCAACCCCTTGCTCTTTTATATACCATTTTTGACAGGAGAGGTATCCCTTTTGTAATGTATGCCTTTAATTACCAAATGGTACCCCTTTCACATACCTAGTTTGGAACTTTGCATCATTTTAAGCTGCTGCATTTGTACTGTCTTTCAAATATATATAAATCACAAAACCAGAACTTGTTTCTCGTCTTTTTCACTCCGATAAAATGCATCTTTTATCCCTTTTGGGAAGGAAATGACGGATTCACTTACCCTTTCATATACTTCAACTAGCTTCAACTGGTAAAATTCCTACCTTTCATATACATGGTGCCTGTCCCTATAGGCCGTTATAGGGACTAACCCTGGGTTGTCAAGATGGCACCTAAAACAATTGTAATACGCATGACTGTTGCGCTACTAGAACTATAAATAGGGACCTTAAACAAGGACGACGACGACGGCAGTGAAAACGTCGGTAAAAAATGAATTTGCGTTCTTCCAAACTTATTCGCGTCTACTTGGACCCGCGCAATATGTCAAATGCAGGCGACTTTTCCTGGAGTTGAATTCTTAAGGATTTTATTCAGGTTCAAAAAGAGGAAGGAAAATTCGTCGTCGTATGTCCACGTCCTCCATAAAACCTCAAATTAGAAGGTTTCACGTCGCAGTCGTGCAGTGGACGTCAACGAAATGTACTAAAAAGCGTGATGCACGTGCAGAGCAGTTGTTTTGATCATTAATTAAACCCATTGTCTTTTTGAAGTCGTCGTTGTGGTCGTCGTCGTAGTTGCTTAAGCTCCCTAATGGTTTGGCCCTACCAATTCTATCTTCATATCAATGAACTACTGCAAAACAGATAGCATTTCCTTGTAGTGGCGTAGCCGCAGTGATAGGCAACTTTAGCTGATTTTTCCGGATGGTAACGAAGAAGAGCAGATGGTAGGTATTACTGCCACTTGGTCTGTGGCGACACAACATTTTGCAGCCAAGGTCAATTGGGTGTATTATTTCTTAACTTTTTTTTCTTCTGTTTTTTGTTTTGTTGTTGTTGTTGTTGTTTTTTTACCTGGCATAAATGTTCTTGTTTTTGTTGTTTTTAATTCAGGCCAACTTAGACATAAGCAAGGAAAAGCTTGCTGCTGACTTAGTTTGTTTATTGGAAGAGGCTGCTAGACCTCGGGACGTTGCCCCGCTGAAAGCGGAAATAGAGTCATACTTCATTGTTGGAGGGGCGCGCATTGACATGATAGGGAAAGTTGTAGAAATTGACAATAACATTGGAACTAACAACTTTGATATTCCACTTCTTGAAAAGACTGAAAAGGGAATTATTGCGGCTGGCAAGTCAAAAGGTATAAGAATCGATTTACACCAGAGTCAACGTATGATGCTTCGAAGGAGGGCCTTAGCCATTCTTTCACTTGCTAAAATGCAAAAATTATATCGTACTGAATGCTCTAAATTGGCAAATAAGCCATTTAAAACATTTTGCAAGCGTTTTGGGTTGCTTGAAGACCATTTTGCCAGAGTCCTTACTGCACTTTCTACTACTACTAGCTGAAGCGCTCAGGGGCGGATATAGGGGGAAGGTACAGGGGGTGCGCCCCCCTGAGATGACCTGCTGTTTTCTAATCTAATACAACTGGTATTCTGCAAAAAAAAAAAACTATGTGGTTCATTGGTGTTGAAGTAGAGCAAGAGACGAGTGCACCCCCTCCTAAAAAAAAATCCGGTATCCCCCCCTGTGTGCTTGTGTTGATTCTGAAACGCAGAACGAAGGCGTCAGAATAATAAGGTCGCTCGAGTACCATCCTGCTAATAATTTTGAAACTAAGTCTAACTCGACATGTATATGGCTTCCGTTTTCACGTGAACGATGTACTAAAATCAACGGAACAGTCTCTGGGGTGGATATATGTTTAACTTTTTCAAAAGTATGAGTATTGATCTGGTGTAGCCAACATGTCAGGTACCGTCACCCCAAAGAAACAAAGAAGCCAAACAATAGAGTTCTCCTGAGAGCTTTATTGTTTGGTTGTATTGGAGACTCACGTAAGAGGGTCTCCAATAAGTTTTTCGGGATGCGGGATTTCCCTTATTTGAGGCTCGGGATTCGGGATTTTAAAGGGAAATCGGGGCGAGATTTGGGATTGAAAGTATGCGCTGGAGGTGGGATGCCAAAAGTAACCCTCGGGATTACGGGATTGCCCGAAAATTTGGGTCGGGATTACGGGATAGAAAAACCCTATTGGGGACCCTCAAGTAACTAAAGCTGAAAGCTGAAGTAACTTGTCATCGCTCCCAGTCGTTTTTCGACCCTCACATTGTAATAAGATTGTAGCAATGTTGTAGTTTTTACAATAGCAATACTGTAACAAGTCCACTTACCATCCGTGCCCTCCTGACAGGTCAGGTATATATGTTTTTATTAGACTACAAGGTCCGTTGTACTGATGTGATGAAACTCTCCACCAGTGGCATAAAAGTTTGACCTAAAATTGTTCATCGCTTGGAAATAATGTTAAATTTGTTAGTTTTAGCGTTATGTATAGCTACTAACAAACAATTTTTCGCGTTTGAATTGAGGTGGCCTGTTAACCACGGAACTCCGCCAAACCTTCACAGACAATCTTCTCAGCACATACAAACAACTGGAAAGGTCGTTTATGATAAAGCTCTATGAGCTCCACAAGGCCCTTGGATTCCGTACACTGTGGAACTTGAATGACTTAATAGGCTCATTCCGACGGATTGCTTCAGAGAGTGCACTGGGCGTTGGGCGACTTAACGGAGCGGTGGAACTTACGAGGGAACTTCGAACTCTGTCCGGGGTTATAGGAAAAGCTCAAGTATGTTTCTCTAAACTTAAATATACAAGAAATGTCCATAAATGGAGCTTTGACAAGGACAGAAACAAAAAGGTAATCATGTAAACAGCGTCACAAAGTCGCTCGTTTTATAATTATTATCATTAATTTATATATATATATATATATATATATATATATATATAAATTTTTGGTGGCTATAATGTGTAACTGCATCTGTTGCAAGTGGAAAAACCTCTTGTTGACAACCAGATGAAACTAAGCTGAAACAAGAACCTTTGGATCCGCTGAGAAAATGTTGTCTAACATGTTAACTGAACTGGCTATGTTGCTTACTAAGACGCATAAACAATGCAATGCAGGGTCCACAATACAAGGCGGGGATGGTGTAGTATTTAGAAGCGATTATTGCTATTTCACTTCGCCAATATCATGCTTAATAACACCACAGGCGGCCCAGACTCTGTGGGAGTTCGTTAGTTTGGAAACCTAATTATCGACGTTTAAGATTTTGAGTTTATTTCTTATTATTAGTACAACTCAAAATTCTAAACGTCGATAAGCAAAGAGACAATAAATAACAAAACAAAACCACAAGGTGAGTCATCTTTATTTCTATTTAAGTCAAAAAATGAATTTTAGGACGAATTTTGTATATTTTCATACATTCTCTTATGGAATCAAGTCAATATAAACTTTTGTAATTTTAGTTTAAACTGTACCTGTAGTTTCAAAGTTAAGAAATTCAGTTATCAATTACGTTGTATAAGTTGCCTAGTGGCTTTATGCAATTAATGACAGAAGTCATGACATTGTTTCTGACTCTCAATTTCGTACCCAGATGTCTTGAAGACGAAGCCGACAAGAGATCTGGGCTCGAGATTATCTGATACTGCCCAACGTCGTCCTCTGTAAGAATGGTTTCAGCCAAGTCTGAAGACATTATTACGTGCTTTGATGTTATTTTTTTGCCACTGTTAGAATATAACGTTATTTCTAAATTTTGCAGATGTTTAAAGAAATCCAACAAGGTTACACTAGATTCGGTATCAGTGAAGATGAAATTTGCCCCAGTTGTTACAACGCGCGACTTATTAAGGTAAGAATAAGTATATAACTCATCATTTATTCCTTGTTCTTGGTGTTGTTGATATTTTTGGAATTGTTTTTTTTTGTAACACAGACAGTAGTTTGCAGCGTTTGGGCTTACCTTTACAATGATATTTTTGAGACGCTTTTTTTGTACAATCGTATAAAAATTCTAGTTGTCTATATCACCTCCCGGTCAGCTCGATTGGACAAGCGCCGGTCTGCCGAGCGGTAGGCCGCTGGTTTAAATCACGGCCGGACTAACACTCGCTTCCTTACATGGAACACATTATCACTCCCAACGCTGTCAACCTAATCTAATCAAACACTTGCTCTAGACTTTTGATATTGTATTTTTGCGTTAGAATGAAACTTTAAAAACTGTTAATAATTCGGCAGATGTACATCGAACTCTACGGTTCTGAGCAGCAAGATACAATACCTGACAAAATTCATCTGAAGGTGCGCCACCTAAGCGGAGCTCATTTCCTGGCAGGTGACAAAAAGATTAAGAATTACCGCCAGCCAATAACTGACTACAGGAATCTCAAGTTCGATCGATTTACCATCAGCAATGACAAGGAGTGTCGCAAGGCAAAGAAACAGGGGAAAAATTCAAGTAAGCATTCATAATAGTAGTTTAATTTTAAATTTTAAAGCACTCCTTTATTCGCATTAATGACAATATCCTAAGGCCCCGTGCACATAATGCACATAATGCAATTTGAAAACGGAACTTTATTTTTCCGGTTACGCCTTCCGTCCACACTAATCCGCACACATCCTGATAAATTCTCCATCGAAAACGGAACTTTTCGAAAACGGTCTCCAGATCTAGAGTGGAAGAATTTAAAAACGCCGGCTAGCGGTATTAGTGTGGACGGAGAACATTTTGAAAACGGAACTTTTCGAAACGGGCGATGCTCGGCGACACGTCATGATTGTCATGTGATTTCATTGCCCAAGTCTTCCTAGGTTATAAATCCAACATGGCGGACGACGAGATCATAGTTTTTTTGTTGTCCATGATATCAAGTTTAATTACGTGCTTGGAGTTAAATATCGCACTTTATAACATGTATGAGAGAAATCAAAGGCCTTCGAAGTTTTGTAGTCGCCTGTGACATTCAACAACAATTTCACCTCGTCATCAGACCATGAAAAGTATTCGGTTTTGTTTTTTTCTTCCGTAGTATTATTCTTAAGGCTTGACATGCTGGGTAAATTAAAAAAGATAATAACCTCTTTCGCGTAAACAACAACGTCACAACGTTCAAATATGGCGGGAGTAAGGAGAAGTCGGCTAGAAGCCGACTTCTCGGCGGGCTCAACGCCTCGATATGCGCATGCTCAAAGGTGCGTTTAAGCGTTTTTGACGCCTCTGATCTTTGTAGTGTGGACGCAGACAGGAGCTCATATGGGCTCCTGACGCAGAACATTTTATCCGTTCTCATGTGTGGACAGCAAACTTTTGTTTCGTTTTCATTGTGAGAGTTCCGTTTTCAAATTTATCCGGCATAGTACTATACTTGCAAGAAAGGGACATTTTACTCGAGTCTAAAACAAAGGGAATAGGAAGCAATGGCAAGCAGGCAGTAACTGAATGATCAATTCAGTACAGTCTGTGGAACGTCCATCAGGGGACACCCTCGGGATCAAGGCAATTATCCCCTGAATAGAGGTGTTCCCTTAATGGAATTTGGGCCGGAATTTTGTTGATAATTAACCAACAAATGAAATATTTTTATTTTATTGTACCTCGGAATCTGCTACCGTCATTATTTTTCAGCAGTTAGATAATGTATCTATATTAAAAAAATCACGATTAACTTATCTCTGCGATGTTGTGTGTTGAATTCCTACAAGTGCAGTACATCAATTTAAGTGATGTAGCTCGTGTAGTGAAAGTTGTCGCCACTGTGACTGTCAGTCACTTTTCAAGTGCTAAGGTGTCCCCTGAATGGTGGTTGAATCCCGCAAAAGTGTCCCTTTCCTCTTAATAGAGGTGTCACTTCATTAGAACTAACAAATACAAAGATTATGCGAACGTTTTTCTGGCGTCAAATTTTGTGTCCTCTGAATAGAGGTGTCCCTTGAATAGAGGTATCCTAAAGGAAAGGTTCCACTGTATTAGTTTATAAAAAAAGGTAGCAATTATCAGCGTGCACAGATCAAGGAAAAATCGTTCTGAGTCGACAGGCAGTGCGTATTCTTCAGGAAAGGAGAGATTCCTCATAATTTCTTAGCGCCTTGATAATCTGTTATTCGATTCATCTTTATCATCCTTCGACTGCGAGTATTCGCTCATTTTCCTCAGGGATATATGTAGTAAAGCGAACATGAAAATCGCCACACATTCACTCCCTCTATTATCCCTGAGGAAAATGAGCGGCAACTGTTAGACTCTATCATCCCCTGTCTTAGGGTACTGTGTCGAAAAGGACGATCGTCGATGGGAACCGATGTGCAGCCACCCCTTAAATGGTCCAACCGATTCTGGCTTGATGATGGGAAAAGAGGAGTGTACAAGTCCTTCTGGTTATTACGAGCTGTTTATTCCTGTGGACAAGAATCTAGACTGCAGTGCCACTAGGATGAAAGACACCAACTGCAAAGATCTTGACGTGAGTTTCAGCTCCTGAAAATTCTCGTACAGTGCATCGTTAACGCCCGGCAGGTTGTTGAGCGTTTTTAAAAGCACCAAAGCGGAAGTTTTCTTGTGGTCTTAGTTTCCTGTCTTAATCGCAGAGGGTTAAATCCCGTTTGGCTGTCTTGGATTAGAAGTTCCGCGAATTATGAAGCTTTTAAGAAACATCTTCCGCGGTATTAAATCGGCAATGCGCGAAGAAGTTATGTACACCAGATGCTGAGAACACGCTTCCACCGCCAATCGGCTTAATTTTTATTAGTTTTGCCCCTTTGAACTTGGTTGAAATAGGCATCTGTCTTTTGCAAATCATTCCACTGCATTTTCGACCATCGTTTACGAGAGACAGCGTGGCTGATTGGTCAACGCTTCGAACTCGGGTTCGAGTCCCGCGCTCCGACCACTGGGCGGATTTCAGTTTAAGTCGCTTGGGGTTCAACTCCTCGGCAGTGCATGCAAAGGGACTGCATAACCAGCTGACGACGTTCTTCTAGTTGGTTTTTTTTTTAACCCTGTCATGTTATAGTTTTGAGAAAAAAAAAACGACAACATTTTTTAAACCAAAAGTTTGAAATCATGAAACACAGAATGGAGTTTATGATAATGCGAGAAAACTGTTACAACATAATAAAGAAACGCGAAAATGTGTGACTATAAATTCGACTCTGTGTTTCACGATTTCAAGCTGAAGATGACAGTTAACATGTCTAAGTATAAAAGTATTGGTTTTTTTTCGTTTATTTGTTTTTTATTTTTTGGTTAACTTATAATTAGTCTGCAACTCTCCAGACCTACTGTAATGTTCTAATTAAAACACTTGTTGCTAATTATTGAACAGAAATGATTGTAAAATTTCTGGAGCTGTTAAGTGCACTTCCACTCTAAAAAATATTTTGTTTATTATTTCATTTTAGCTGACGAAGTTCACTAAGATGAACGTTTGGGTGTATTACTTGTACTGGTCGAACAAGTATCCTGTCGGACCTGATGACCCCGTATGTCGTGTTGCAACGATAAAACGGAATCAAACAGAGATCGTCAAACAGCAGATTCCTGATGCCCTAGAAGAAGATAAAGAATGAGTTTTGAAGGTCGTGCCCAACCATTGCATTTACAATGTAGCTTTGAATATGAGACAGTTGTGGCTTAAATACCTCATCCAACATTCATTTGCAGAATCGAATTATGAATTAAAAAGCTTACTTTGGTTTCACCTTCAGTTGTCTACACTTTGTACACAAGTCTATGAAAAAGAGGTTCTAGATTCTGCCCAAAAAACTGCAAGTGAGGAATGCTGGATTTAGGGTTTTCTAAAAGCATCACTGCATGATCGAGGTCTTTTGGAGTTTCTTGAGGGACATATTCCTAAGGGCTGTTAGCGTATTTAAAAGGTTTTCATATGAGAGGAATGACGGCTATCGACCAAAACAGCCCTGTAGGTTTGTATGTGAAAGTAATACCACTCCCTGGTGGTATTCATCCCAAACAAAAATAAACCAAAATCTGAAACACATCGAAATATATACCACATACACGGCAGTCGTTTTCATCAGCTTCTAAGCGTTTAATCATTGTCATTATCATTATTATTGTAGCTTACATGTAACTGACTGATTTTACAGTTTTTGCTGTTGTAGCTTACCAGATCGGTTTTATTTTTAAGAGACTGATTATAAAGTGGTTGCTTTACTAGCAAATAAACGCCCAGGCTGGCTACAGAAGGGACGAGAAATTTCAATACTCATAGTTGAGTACACTAGGAAAAAATTCGAGTCTATTCTACAACTAGCAAATGCCTATATTCTGGTAAAACACGAACAACAAGTCTCTCCTAACCCTTTGAATATTGAAACTGATTGTTCTGCATGCAGAATTGACTATTTCTAGACACACAGCCACATAAATAGCTGCAAAAATTAAAAAAAACTGAATAGACATGTAAAAACCCTCAAATTAGTTTTTAGACGAAAGATAATTCAATTTGAAGTTGCTGTAAACTAAAATTAAGCTGTGAATTACTTAAAACAGTCACTGAAGAGGAAAGAAGTAAGTAAGGCATGACAATTTTTTTTTTTTTTTCGCTGTTGGTGATTAACACCTTTCAATCAGCCAATCAGCTTTAAGTATTCTCACACAGAACACCAAGTTTGAATATTAATAAGATTATTTTTTAGTCTCTATGTTTATGAAGCCAAAACTATGCTCTTATTGAAGGAGGCGGATGAAAAATGACCAGCAACCGTTCCATCCTTGGAGGCATGGGTATCGGTTACATTTGATCAGTGATTGAAGGCCCTTTTCTTCTTGGTACCTGCAAAAGAATAATTGAAACATAAGTTGATGAGTTATTTTATTTATTTATTTTTGTATTTTAATTATGAAAATAAGTGAATAAATTATTCTAGTAGCGAATAGCTGTTTGAACTTTAAAGGGAAGCTATTCAAGAGTTTTCTGGTACTTGGTGGATAAACAATAGAACAAAGTCAAATTCCATGACAGGCATTTTAGGGGAAAATCAGCCTTTTTGTCCCTTTTTGCGCGTGGGTATTGCCCTAAATAGCAACATTTGTCAGCATTGCGCCGTAAAAAAGATGCGGCAACTCTCCCCACCCCCCACGTTTTACTACGTTTTCCGTTTTCATCATCTTCTAGGATTGTTACAACAGTGTACCAATTATATCGCACACCGCACCCACACATTATAGTTACCTTCCTCAGGCATGAAATCCGGGGCATATTCGTCTTCCCAGTTAAAGGCTCCTGCTTCATACTTGTTCATATTTTCACCTTTAAAATAATAATTTTAGGAAAAAAAATGCTGGCCACTGTTTTGAGTTGTTATCTGTCAATATCTAAAACTGCTTCTTGACAGCTTTTCAGTTTCTGGCATCAATCCTTTGCCCAAGGTCTGGCAAGAAACGCTGTAGAGTACAAAAATTCTTGAACGTTAATGTATAATATAAACATTATTAATCTCGAATTTTTAGGGTATCATGTAGGCTCCATGTAAAGAAAAGAAGTTAAGAAATTAGTGAGAGAGTATCTGAACCATACTGGTTTTAATTTTACTCACCAAATTCATTGCATGTCATAGACTTGTCCCCTGCAATTATTTAATAAAGGCTGCGCACTTTTTGTTTCATTTGGTTGTAAGGAACAGGTTGGAAATCGCCAGAAGCTTCTTTGTTCCATTTTAGAAGTATTTGAGCTATCTAGTTTAAGGCGGTTAGTAAAATATTTGAATTTTAACCTACCTTTCCGGTACCAAAGAGGACTGCTTGAGCTGTGAAACCCATGAATGCAACAAAAAACAGCAACAACAAAAGTCGAGCCATTTTGTAAGCGTGCTCTTTGTCGTCTTGATTTTCAGCGCCGGTATGAAAGGAAAGTCACCCGAGAGCAGTGCGAATTTAAGCCGCTGTGATGAGTTACATCACATTTATTTATTCATAGCCCCCATCAATATTGTTTTGAATATTTTCCGGTATAACATAACGTTCGTGAAATGCAGTCACTATCAGAATATCCATCGAGGACATGTCATCATATGTGGTCCAAACTGACGCTAAAACAGCGGCGGCGGAGCAAAGGAAAAAGTGGGGGGAGGGTGCTGAAAACAAAATTGGACATTCCATTTTTTTTTCCGATAAGTTGTTGATTTAAAAGAGGTGGGATGGTTTTGTTGTATTTGAGAAACTATGGAAACGTGAAATGTGGCCGATATCAAAACCAAAATGTTGCTGATCAAGTGTTTGACGTTTAGCATTCAAAGAACGTGAATGCAGTTTATTCAGCTGTCATATATCCTTTAAAAAAATGTCTTGAAATAAGACATGTTCTCCTCTTGTATTTTTAGCTTTGATAAATGCTAGCTAACGGTATTAAAATAAATATAAAATCCGAGAAACTTAAAATAATTTGTTATTATACAAAATATCACCTAAAAAATAAATTATTACTGTCGAACGGCTCCCGTAGGCGACCACCCAAAATGCAAAGACTTAGTGGTCGCTTATAAGAATCAAACCAGAGGGGCCCTCTTCCGAGAAGAGGTCCAGGCACATCTACTTTATGGAAGATAATTTAATGCATGCAATTTATAAGTTACGCCATGTGTAGTTCCATGTTGTCGCTCAAAGTTCTTCGTACATTCAAAGTAGCACAGCGCACACAGTGAACATAGAGAATGTGTCAAGTGGTCGCTTACAAGTGGTAAAAAACAATTATACCGGACTGCCGGTCATTTAGTGTTTTGAAAACCTTGACCGGTTACCGGCCATATAGCCACAGCGAAAAAAAACCTGAAACTTGAAACCTTCCTCTTTAACCCCCCGCCAGTTCTTCGTTGATAGCATCTTTGAGTGATTACTTATATTACTCGTTACTGATTCTTTAATTTCGGTTTCTCAGAACAGTCCAACATTTCCAACCTGATTACAAGATGTTGAACCTAAAATCATATAAAAGCAATACCGATATAGGGTGATGGACCCACGGGTAACACGAAATGTTTATTTATGTTTATTTTCATTTTAGAACAGAGCTTATTAGAATCTAAATTTTACTTATTAAGTAATTTCTCTGGTCAGACAAATTTTGGGAAAAAATAACAGAGCAATTGAGCAAAATTGACAACGGATTGATTTGCTTTTAAGTTTCATTTTAAATCTTATAAAAGAGCATATGAAAGCTGAATGAGGTTCGTCAGCTCAGACAAACACGTGTCATTAAGGAAATAAACAAGTTATATAAGAATGTTCTTAATTGTTTTCCGGAAAGAAACACTTACACTGCCGGAATAAGATATTGATACAGAGATGGATTGGCACGTAAGAATCTTAGTATTCATTATGTGGGAAAGATATATATCTTGCATTTTTATCATTTTTTCTTCTGTCACAGTCTTTGCCAGTGTTCTTTTAGTGCATCAGCCGAGCGCAAACCGGCAACTGGAGCATCAGTCACTCTAGTCAATCATTCTGTTCATATACTAAGCACCCTCCTAAGGATTCGTGCAGATCCCAGCATGCAGATCTTTTGGGTCTCTGTCAGAGTAGCTCTCCCGGATACTTTCTTGATGTTTTCTACTATCCCATTGTTGTTGTTGTTGTTGTTGTTGTTATTATTATTATTATTATTATTATTATTATTACTATTATTATTATTATTATTTATCATTATCATTATCATTATTATTGTTCAGAAACAAGTAAAAAATAACGCGGACAAGAACGAACGACGTTTCGGTGTCATCTTGACGCCATTTTCAAGTTCAAAATGATTGCTGATAAACTGTCAAAAACATTTTGGTTGTTGATTAGCATATCATATCCGAGAACTGTCTCCCAGATGTTGTTAGAACAATCCAGATTGCCGCTTTTGCTGATGACATAAAGGTTTTCAAAGAAATAACATCTACGCGCCGTGCAACGCAGAACAACTTCAGGAGAACCTATCTGACCTGATCACTTGGTCAGATTCTGCTAGCCTAAACTTTAACTACAGCAAATGCAGAGCCGCATAACCAGGAAACTTAAACCCGTCGTCTTTGTCTATCATATGGCCGGCTCTCAACTTGAAGTTGTCTCTGCCGAGAAGGATCTCGGTGTTTACATCACGGATAACCTCACGTGGAATAAGCAAGTCAATGTGCAAGGTGCTAAGGCCAGCGGGCTCCTGGGATATGTACGGAGAAACACCAGACTCATCAAAAGTATTACGGTTAGACACACCCGGCACACCTTATCCCTCTTGGCTATGCCACGCTAGCCTGTGTACAGACGTACCCCCTGAGGGGGGGGGGACGTCTGTACACAGGCTATGCCACGCAATTCTGGACTCCGCAGTCAATAAACCTGATTCGAAAGCTAGAGCGTGTCCAAAGGCGCGCTACAAAGTGTATCCTGGGTCTACCATTCATTTGTGACCAAACATAAAGGGAGAGGCTAATGAATCTTAACTTATTACCAATCTCCCACTGGCACGAGTTTTTAAACATGATTTTTTTTCAAAGTTGTAACCGGCACAGTTAGAGTTAGTCCTTCTGTTCCCCCGCAAGTCTTTACTACCAGATCTAACAGC